CCCAGGCGGGTCTCGAACCCGCCGGCTCAGGCAATCCACTCACCTCAGCCTCCCAAAGCATAGGATTACAGGCTGAGCCACCGAGCCTGGCTTAGATTTTCAGTTTAAATGAAAATTATAAAAATAATTACAATGATAAATCATTAGACTTACGTTTTTCCATTCCATTCCACAATCTTTGTAAAGTTAAGGTAATTGTCTTCTCCAGTTAGAAACACATAATCTCCATCATTTGTCCCATTTTTCTGAAAATAAGCGAATATGATCATTTAAAGTAAGTGTGATAGTTAATTTTATGACAGCTTGGCTAAGCTATAGTGCCCAGTTGTTTGGTCAAACACTAGCCCAGATGTTGCTGTGCAGGTATTTTGTAGATGTCATTAATCTCTATAACCAGTTAACCTTAAAGGATATTTCCCTCGTTAATATGACTGAATGGTCTTTATCCAATCAGTTCCACGGCTTGAAGGCAAAAAACTGAGGGTTCCTGGAGAAGAAATTCTTCTCAAGGTTGCAACAGAAATGCTGCCTGAGTTTCTGGCCCGTGGCCTGTCTTTCAGACTTCAAACTCAAGACCACACATAAACATGTGCCTACCTTTCCAGCCTTCTGGCCAGCCCCCTCAATTACATACATCAACTTACCAACCCCCTCAATTACATACGTCAACTCCATAATATCAGTCTCTCTCTTCTCTCTCTTTCTGTATATTTAATAATCCTCTTGATTCTATTTCTCTGTTACAGTTCTATCAAGTGTAATATTCACGAAACTATCCTACTTGGGCCTAACTGCTATTTGAGATTGAACCAGGTCTAGAAACAATGACTATTTTGATAAATGCTATATTAATCATATTATGACTTTATCGTTTTAAAAAGCAGGAGCTCGATTTTAAAATGGGTAAAGAATTTGAAGAGACATTTCTTCAAAGAAAATATACAAATGGCCAGAAAACACATGAAAAGAGGTTCAACATCATTGGTTATTTGGGGAAGGTAAAACCACAATGAGATATCACTTCACACCCACTAGGATGATGATTTTAAATAGGAAAATAAAAAGTGTTGGTGAGAATGTAGGGAAACTGGAACTTTTCTTTATACACTGTGAGCGAAAATGTCAAATGTTACAGCCCCTGTAGAAAACAGTTTGGCAGTTCCATAAAAATTTAAACAGAATTCGAGAGTTCCGGTAAGATGGCAACGGCACAGGTGGGACTGTGAGATTCTCCAAAAGTGAGTTCCCATAAAGACTCTTACTACACCTCCCGTCACCCACCTACCACCAGCCGCACCGGTTGGAGGCCTGGAGAACCTTGGTCCCATGCTCCGCCGGCTACCGCGGCCCCTCTGCTGGGGCTGTTTCACCCCAGGCGACCCTGGGCCCTGGCAGAGTTGAGCTCCCAGCTCCCTCCCCAGCTACCCAGCCCCAAGTACCCACTGCTGCCTGCGGAGGCCCTCGGATACTGCCTTGTGAAGATCTGGTTTCCCTTGCTGGCTACACTGATCTGCCTGGCACTCAGCTACTACCAGCCCCCTCCCTGGCTGGGCGCCCAGCCCAGTCTCAGCCGTGGCAGCCCGGGGAGGCCCTCCATGCCCGCCCCTCGGAACTACAGGCCCGATGCCCTCCTGGGGCGCCCCACTAGGCCCAAGGCCACCAGTGCCCATGCAGGCCCCCAGCGCCTGTGCCTCCAGGCTCTGTGCTGCCACCTGAGCTGAAGCACGCAAACCCGCAGCCAGTGCTCAATCCTCGGAGTTCTGGCCCCACCCTGGGTTCCAGGTCCCCACCCAGCCCCTTCTCAAGCCGCCATCGCCCAGGGAGGCTCTAGGCACCCATCCCTCAGAGATACCAGCTCCATTCCTGGCTGAAGTGCCCAGTGGGGGGGCCCAAAGCCGCTGCTACCGAACGCTACCGGCCCTATCCCCAGACTGGACTAGTGGAGAGAAAGGACGAGTGGAGAGAAAGGATCCACGAAAGAGGAGCCCCCACTGCAGTCATTTTCCAGGCAGAGATTTGCATTGCCTGGCCCATCTTCCAACAGCCTCCACCTTGTTTCTAAGGTAAGCTCACCAAACAGGAGACAAAAGGCCCTCCCCTATGCTTCATCAGACACAGGCAACTCAGTCCTGTGGCAGACCTCTCAGGCAGCAAGCCAAGGAACCAACCCAACCTATGAGTTAGTCTATCTGCTGCAAAGGGGAGAGGCTAGAGAGCAGAGCTAAAGAGACTTTAGACACTCAGGAAAGACTCCAGAGCTAGTCTGGGTTTCTTATTTTGATTTTTTATTTTATTGTTTTGACTGTTTTGCTTACTTTTGTTGGCTTTTTGAGTTAGACTACTTGTTTGTATTAGGGAAAAGCACATCAAAAGGCATGAAATTACTGGACTGTCTTTGTGTGATTACTGGTATGCTTTAGGGCATCTTGTTTGTTTGTATTTTATACTTTTTTGGCCTTGTGTCTCTTTTCATTCATTAGTTGGTATGTATGTCTCTTTTCCCTCTTACTTTTCTCTCTTTCCAACTTCCTCTTGACCCCCCCTTTCTTCCATTATTTTCCCTTTTCTTACCTCCTTTGGATCCAGGGAGCAAACCTAAACCCCACTGCATGAACAGATTGTAAGGCAGTGGGAAGTGGGTTCCAGTGTGCCCATACACCTGTTGGTGGATACTGGGATATGCAGATAGATTCTGAATACAGGGTCCCCCTCAATGAAATCTCAAAACTGCAAAAAGTACAGCCCCAACCTACAGTCCAGCCTCAAAAGTGAACAAAGCCAGAGGATGCTCATAAGGAAGAACAGGAGATTGAACAAAAAGAAGTAAAAGCAACCTCACATTCCTTGAAAAACATAATTAAAGAAGGGGAGGGAAAGGGGGAGAGAAAAATCTACACAAATGAAGAAAAACCAAAAGAAGAATATGGGTCGCTCACAGATCCCTGGGAGGTCAGACACTGAAAAAACTGACTTCAGAATGCAAACAACGAAGAGCCCCCAGAATGACTGCTCTCAAACTACAAACCCAGATATCAAGACATTAATGGAGAGATTAAAAAGAATTGAGGGGAGACAGGAGGAATCTAGGAAGGAGTTGATAACTGAGATAACAGTAGTAAAGAATACTGTGAATGAAATAAATAACAAACTGATAATCATGGAAAGCAGAATAGCCAAGCAGAAGGAAGAATCTCCAAACTTGAGGACCAAAATATAGAATTAACCCAAACTGTCAAAAACATAGAAAAGAAGCTTAAAAAGACAGAATAAAACCTTCAAGAGATGAGCGACTACTTCAAGAGACTGAACCTAAAAAGTAATTAGATTTCCTGAGGCAGAAAGAGGGACAGTCCACTCTTGAACAAACATTCCATGAGATTATTCAAGAAAAATTCCTCATCTCATCAGTGATGTGAAAATTCAAACACAAGAGATTCAGAGAACCCCTGCAAGACAACCAATGAGAAGACCAACTCCCAGACACATAATAATTCACCTCAACAAAGTCAGAATAAAAGAAAAAATCCTAAAGGCAGCAAGAGAAAAAGGTCAGATTACCTACCATGGAAGACCAGTTAGAATAGCAGCAGATCTATTTACAGAAAACCTTCAGGCTAGGAGAGCTTGGAGCCCTATTTTCAATGTTCTAAAAGATAAACAATTTCAACCAAGAATCACCTACCCAGCCAACCTAAGCTTCATCAGTGAGGGAGAATTAAAATCTTTCCCAGATATCCAATCCCTAAGAACTTATGCTGCCACCAGACCACCTCTATAAGAAACAAAGTATTAAACACAGAAGAATAGGAAAAAAGAACAACAACTTTCTTCACAAGAGTACAGGAAAAAGATTAAAAACATACATGAACCAACCCCCAAACCAAAAGAAAGACAACAAACAAACAGGAACAACAATAACAACTCTATAAGAACCTTATGATAGGGATCAACTCTCAACATTTCAATAATTAGCCTGAATGTGAATGGACCAAATGCACCACTGAAAAGACATAGAATGACAAAATGTTTAAAATATCACCAGGCAACAATATATTGCCTTCAAGAGACTCATCTCACTAGAAAGGACACTCACAGACTCAAAGTAAGAGGATGGGAAACAAATATTCAGGTGAATGGAACAAAAAAGAAAAGAGGAGTTGTGATCTTAATTTCTGACAAAATACCCTTTAAGCTATCAAAAATTAAAAAAGATACAGAAGGCCACTACATAATAATAAAAGGTTCAATCCATCAACAAGAAATATCTATCCTAAACATATATACACCCAACATAGGAACACCAGCTTTCATAAAGCAGCTTCTAAGTAAACTCAAAAAAGATATTGACTCTAACACTATCATACCTGGGGACTTTAAAACCCCACTCACAACTCTATATGGATAATCAGAACAAAAAATCAGCAATGAGATCCAGACCTCAATGTGACTCTTGACCAAATGGACTTAATTGATACCTACAGAACACTCCATCCAACTACCACAGAATATACATTCTGCTCATCACTGCATGGAATGTACTCTAAGATCAACCACATACCACAACCACATGCCATATATCAAGCATAAACAAATACCAAAAGACTGAAATTTTGCTGTGCACCTTCTTGGACCACAGTGGAATTAAAATAAACATCAACACTAAGTTTCCCCCCAAACCCACAAAGACATGGACACTAAATAGCATGATGCTAAACAACTCCTGGGTCAATGATGAAATCAAAACAGAGATTAAAAGATACCTGGAAAGAAATGAAAATGAAGAAACATCTTACCAAAATCTTTGGGATGACATGAAAGCTGTAGTAAGAGGGGAATTCAGATCTCTACAAAGAAAAAAAGTGGAAGGATCACAAATTAACAGCCTAACAAGTCACCTAAGGAAGTTGGAAAAGCAAGATCACCATAACCCTACTTGAGCAGAATCCAGATTACCAAAATAAAAGCCCAAATCCAGGACATAGAAGACAAAAAAGATAACACAAAAAAATCAATGAAACAAAAAGCTGGTTCTTTGAAAGGATAAACAAAATCGATGGTCCCCTAGCTAGATGGCTTAAGAAAAAAAGAGAAAAAGCCCAAATAAACACAATCAGAAACACAAAAGATGAAGTCACATCTGACCCTGAAGAAATACAAAAAGATCATTAGAGACTACTACGTACACTTGTATGGAAACAAACTTGAAAACCTTAAGGAAATGGAGGACTTTCTGACATCATACAATCTGCCTAGGTTGAAACTGGAAGAAATTGAGACCCTAAATAGATCAGTAACAATCAGGGAAATTGACTATGTTATAAAAACTATCTACAAAAAAAAAAAAAAAGCCCTGGACCAGATGGCTTTCCAGCAGAATTCTATAACACATTTAAGGAGGAGCTGATACCAATCCTACTGAAAGTATTCCAGGTGATTGAGAAAGATTGAGAAAGATGGAACTCTCCCCAAATCATTTTATGAAGCCAACATCACATTGATACCCAAGCCAGGTAAAGACCCAACGAAGAAAGAGAATTACAGGGCAATATCTTTGATGAACATAGATACTAAAATTCTCAACAAGATCCTAGCAAACGGGATTCAACAACACATCTCAAAAATCAACCTTCATGACCAAGTAAGCTTCATCCCTGGGATGCAAGGCTGGTTCAACATTTGCAAGACCATAAATATAATTAAATACATTAACTGATATCAAAGCAAAAACCATGATTATATCATTAGATGCAGAAAAAGCTTTTGATAAAATCCAGCAACCCTTCTTGATAAAAACCCTCGAATATCTAGGCATACCTGCAACATACCTCAAAATAGTAAAAGCCATCTACAGGAAACCCACAGCCAGCATACTCCTAAACAGAAAAAGACAAGGATGCCCACTCTCATCCCTCTTGTTCAATATAGTATTGGAAGTCCTGGCTACAGCAATCAGAAAAGAGAAGGCAATCAGGGGTATTCAAATAGGAAAAGAGGAAGTCAAGTTATCTCTCTTTGCAGATGACATGATTGTGTACCTTGAAAACCCAAGAGAATCTGCCAAAAGCCTCCTTGCACTGACAAAGGACTTTGGCAAGGCTCAGGGTATAAAATAAATGTGCAAAAGACAGTTGTATTTCTTTACACCAATAATAAACAAACAGAAATCCAAATAAAAAGCACAATCCCACTCACAATAGCCACAAAAAAATGAAATACCTTGGCATCTTCTTAACCAGAGACGTGAAAGACCTTTATAATGAAAACTACAAAACACTGCTCAAAGAAATCAAAGATGACACAAACAAGTGGAAAAATATCCCATGCTCATGGTTTGGAAGAATCAACATTGTGAAGATGTCCATCTTACCTAAGGCAATCTACAGATTTAATGCAATACCCTTCAAATTACCAGCAACATTCTTCTCAGATCTAGAAAAAACAATACAAAAATTCATATGGAAACACAAATGACCAAGAATAGCCAGAACAATCCTCAGCAAAAAAAAAAAAAAAAAAAAACAACAACAAAGCAG